TTAGGGGATTAAAGGGTTTAGGGTTTAGGGATTAGGGTCACTTTCGGAGAGACGCCTGGGCCCACTTTTTTGCGTATCGTCTTAGGCTTTAGGGGCTTAAGGTTCCCTTTTTTTTGGTATCGTTTTAGGGTTTAGGTCCCCTTTTTGGGTATCGTTTTGGGCTGTAGGGGATTAAGGTTCCCACGTTTTTTGGTATGTTTTAGGGTTTGGGGGATTAAGGTTTGGACTCTCACACCCGCACAAGGCAGGCAAGGCTTCCACATAGTTCGGTCTGCGCGGCAATACCTGAGATTATAGGGGATTATGGTTTAGGGTTAAGGAAAAGGTTAGGGAATGGGTTGTAATCAGGTTATGCGTTAGGAATACGATAAGTGAGCTTAAGGGACCATGGTTTGGGAGAGACGCTTTTGCTCTTTTGTATGGAGCTTGCCTCGCCAGCTCGTGGCTGGTGCACACTGTGTGGGCCTAGAAGGTGCACTCGTGCGTGTGGCCAGACGGCTTTGAAGATAAGTAGGGTGTTGGGGCCCATGAGACTGTAATTATAGTAAGGAATCCCCAAAATAGTTTGTGGGGCTGGAGGATGTGCACATGTGTTTTTAGCAGGATACCCGATCTGAGATCTGCATTGTGCATAAGCTCGCATGGTGTACGGGAGGTGCTGTTTCTCGTCATACGTCAGATCGTGTTTGTGAGGGGTTGTGAAGCTCCACCCGCCGATGTGCCCATGTCCTTTCCTCTGATTCGAAGCACAAGGATGCGAGGGGGGGGGATGGCGAGGGAGTGTTGGGCTTTCACAACAGAATAATGTCTCGTTTGTCGTTCCCTGCACCAGCACTGCAGCAGCATGAAGACAAGGGCACAGCTCTGAAAGCCCTTCAGGCTTTGAATCTCCTGGCATCATTCACCATGCAGCATGTAGTGGTGGGCTGAAAACGCTTGGTTCCATCTCTCGTGGAAAACGAGCGTCTCAAGTTTGGTATGTACTTTGGTTGGATGTGAACAGTTTCGAACTGCTGTTGTGCGCCAGCCAGCACCGAACAATGCGCTCGTTTCTGTCGTCGCGTGCAATCCCTGCGAAGCTTCGTGGCCAGGCTGCGAGTTAGTTCAGGGCATGACAACCCAAGATGGCTGGTAGTGGAAACCCTAAACCCTAAACCCTAAACCCTAAACCCTAAACCCTAAACCCTAAATAGAGATATCAGACAGCGATCTTCTCTCGCCTTTGCAGTGTCGCTGAGGAAAGGTGTTTCCTACGGGCAGTTCTACAAGGAGCCGCTTGTCGAAAGTTAGCCACGGCTGCGCATCCATGCTCAGAGTTCCGGGTGCCCAGGCAAAACCTGCATCCCGTAGCTCGCGAGCCTGCAACAACACTTTCGACGGGGGTTGTGAGTCACTCAAGTGCGAAGATGCAGAAGGTGAACTCAGGCTACGCCTTGCATTTCCCGAGAACCTCGGGCTGAGGCCGCGTAATTTGGTAGGTAGGTAGGTAGGTAGGTAGGTAGGTAGGTAGGTAGGTAGGTAGGTAGGCCTGTCTGTGCAGCTTCAAGGCATCTGGCAGGAAATGTGCTCAACGAGGCAGCCGTCGACTGGAAGTCCGTTGCACTGAGCCACGTGGCGACATCCGCCGCTTTCGATGCTTACCTCACGGAGCAGGCCGGGACAGCTCATTTGGTTTCGTATTGAACGACTATCAATACTACACCAGCACCAACACTAAAAGGCAAAAACTGATAAATCAACATTTACAATCATTATGTGGGAATCTGTCTGATCGGCTGCATTTTGGGACTGAAGGGGTCAGGAGCATCAAGCATGCAAAGCCTGGGGCCTAGGCGCACGTGAAATCTCAGACCCGTGAACTGCTTGCAGTGCCACTGCCACTGCTACTGCCTACTGCCGATACTACTACTGATGTTGATTGCTACTGCTACTTACTACTCTTACTCCTACTCTTGACATTACCCTCAAAAACCCTCACCCTTTACTCTTACTCTTACTCTTACTCTTACTCTTACTCTTACTCTTACTCTTACTCTTACTCTTACTCTTACTCTTACTCTTACTCTTACTCTTACTCTTACCCTTACTCTTACTC